GCCCATAGGGTTACGAGACGTCGAGGCTCCCATATTATCTAGAAAATCGGCTCAAAGTTGGCGGTAAGGTTGGCAGCCTTACGAGTCGGCCGTCCTTTATCCCCACGAAAATTCCTGGTACTCAGTGTTAGAGACTGAGTTGACCCTAAGGTCATAGTGTGGCTGGAAGGATCCAGTGACCTCATCGGGGATCGAACCCCAGACCTTCCGCCTTGTAGCACAGTGCCTCAAGCAACAAGTGTGAAACACCAACCTGCTTGGTGTTTTCTGTGAAGGTGGGGGGGGGGGGAGAAACGTGTCACATTATTGTTATCAGTTGTTACTTACTTCCGTGCAATGAGGTGTCCGTCCACAAACAACCACGCTTCGTTCTACAGAACTCCCGGGCGGCAACAGCCGTATTCCTCGGAACTGCGCTCCAACACACGGCGAACCTGGGGTCGATATAACGTCACAACAATTCGCTGCAGGTTTTCCGGTCATTCGTTTCGCATTCACTGACTCTGGTCGGCAGTAGATTACACGCTTCAATCCTTCCCCTTCTGTCCTGCTGTACCTTGGCGTGGTGGGAAGGTTTGCGTGCTGTGGTTACCCGCAGGTTGTGCTGGCGGGGGCGTAAGCTCCTGGTAGGGTCACACAACCATACGCAGTGAAGCCCTAGGTCCTATATGCTGGGGGAGGTGTTAAGATTTGGTGCTCCCACAGCGGCGGGATATAACGCCGTGTGATCTGTTGAAAGTTAACTGACGTTTCGGAGGAAGAGGTCGCTCTGCTTGCCACCTGTTTTCGCCCTAGTCTCTTGCTTGGCTTATTCTTCGAACCTGAAGATGGAGGGGAAATATTCCTCTGAAACGTCGGTTGACTCTCAATGGACTATAGGGCGTTACATCTCGGAGGACAGAACTTTTCAATATGTTAAGAAACCTGACAATGCATGCCAGAGGGACATTAGGGAAAATACAGGCAAGGTCATAAGGGCTGAGTGCACTTGGTAAGTCGGCCACTATTGGCCTATTATACCAACCCTGGATGATAGACGAGAATTGGTATGGGGAACCGAAGTACTCGGAAGAAAACCTCCACCAGCGCGTGAGTTTAGCGCATGTCAGAGCAGTGTAACAGTTTCGATACATTCAGACACCTGAAGATGGCCACCTATGGCCAAAATGTGTTATATTAAATTTTAAATAGTGAATAAACAATTGTTGCATTATTGAAAGACTGTGGATACATAGACGTTTTAATTAAAGTTTTGCAGCAGGACGCTGAAATACAGAACCACAAGATCTGACCTATGATCGAAACTGGACCGCCGTGGCGGGAAGCTTGTGATTAAGCGCCTGGGCTATGGTATGGCAGAGTCTGTACTTTGCTGCCTGGGATGTGCTCAGCGTATCGAGGTCAGGATCACCCAGTCGCTGAAAGATGCAGAGAATGATTTACGGGAGATGATGGTGAAAGAATGACCATCTCTTGTAAAGAAGGGCAAGGCTCGTAGAGAAGTAAGTATTTTTTTATTGCTAAGAGTGGGACTAAGTCCCTTCTACTGCGGCCACTTCTGGCCTATTGTACCAGCCCCACATGATAGTTGAGGGTGATTGTGGAGCAATTGGTGCAATAAAAATTGGCAAGAAACCGAAGTACTCGGAGAAAACCTGCACCAGAGCCACTTTGTCCACCACAAATCCCACTTGACCAAACCCGGGCCGCCGCGGTAGGAAGCCAGCGACTAACCGCTTGAGCTATGGCGCGGCCTTAAGTAAGTAAGTAAGTAAGTAAGTATAATGGATCTAAGTTTCTCACGGCGGTCAGTGTGAACAGAACCGTCTTGTGGGTTCTAACGCAGTGTAGTTCGGAGAAAGATGGACGTTTCGGAGGAACATATCGCTTGCAGCAGGCTTTGTGCCTGTTTCTTCCGGTTTCTTGCTTAGCTTATTATTCGGCCCTGCAGATGGAGGTCATACATCGCTCCGAAAGGTTACAAGTCAGAAGACCACACTCTTCAAATAAATGTGTTTGATTCAGCGTTTTAATGTTGTGCTCTGTTATAACGCGACTTTGAAAGCGATATTTTCGAACAGCCTGTGGTTTCTTGCACATGCAAAGAGGGCAGTGACCTCAAAAACAAAAGCGTAGTTCATCCGGGGGGGGGGGGGCAATGTTGATCAAACCATGGGTCGCGGTTCCTTCTTTGTAGTTACCACACTTAACAGAAATAGAGTGTAGTTGCCCAGCGACGGGCTCCCCACTGCGCTGTTACCAGACGTGTCGTCAGTGTTACTCAGTAGCGGATATAAGAGCATTGTTGACTTAGATCTTACCACGTGACGGACAGAACAGTGCGTCGTTAAGGTTTTCCCGAACGTCAATGTTACGTAAATTAGTAAGTGGCCCAGGAGTCAAATCTCGGAGGTCAGCGGTCCTGGTTCCGTGCTCTTCCTCAGCCCTCCAAGCGAAAGCAAAACTACGGCAGCACTGTAAGCAGGTCATTGTCGCATCCATCCACGTACTTCGAGTTCATCACCTGCAGCCATCCAACATTCGGACTCTATGAAACAACGACAGTTAAAAAGGTACGACTGGATAACCTAAAAATAGATTGATACGGGGTCACAGGCAACAGGTGCAGTATAACACACGACATGACTTCCGGATAAATGGAATAACGAACTCCATGGAGCTGAGCCCTCCTTGAGAAGCCGCCAGTTGCTCAGACACTCAAGAATTTGCCAACATTTTATGGAACGCGAAGGTTCATTACCGTGTTCACAAGAGCCCTCCACTGATCCCCATCCTGAGCCAAATCAATCCAATCCATACCATCCCATGCTATCTCCCACACATCCATTTTAATATTATCCACCCACCTACGTATTGGTCTTCTTAGTGGTTTCCTTCCTTCTGGCTTTCCCACCAATATATTATATGTATGCCTCTTCTCCCCCATTCGTGCTACATGCCCTGCCCACCTCATCCTCCTTGACTTAATCATTCTACGAGTAATTATACTTGGAGAAGGGTACAAGTTATGGAGCTCCTCATTATGCAGTTTTCTCCAACCTCCTGTCACTTCAACCCTCTTCGGTCCAAATATTCTCCTCAACACCCTGTTCTCAAACATCCTCAGTCTATGTTCCTCCCGTAATGTCAGAGACCAAGTTTCACACCCATACAGGCAAAATTATACATTTGTATATTCTGATTTTATTTTTTAGACAGCAGACGAGAAGACAAAAAAGCAAGCATTATTGGGTAAATGGAATAATCATATAAAATATTATCGGGTAACAGCAGTACTTGGGCATTGTTACGTAGTTAGCCGTAGTGAAGGTGTTACCAGGTAACAAAGGTTGTGTCCTTAACGGAATCGCTACTGCGTCGTTACAAGGTAAGGGATGTAACAGTTGATCGTTAGGGTAACGGTCTGTCGGTCAGTGCCCTCGGCGGCCCCGTGACTCACGCGTCTCCCGCCAAACAAAACACGGACAGCCCGCGGGCACTGCCGTACCAACCTCCTCGTCGTGGGCCCCAAAATAATATGCCACCTCCTCAACTTGATGGTCATCGACTTCCCTTCTGCGCCGCAATTGCAGTTCAGGTGTGAGCACGGCACGTGGGAACGACCTCGACAGAAGTTATTTATTTATACGTGGGCAGAAACATTCGTCGAATCGCGAAAACTGTCGGAAACATCTCGTCGATTCGTGGTCCTGTTTTCGCGCTTTCTTCTTACACGTCCGAACAGCCTGTCAAAGCGCATGCGCTATTTCGCAAAAGTTGGTCCGTGTTCGGGTCACGCTCTCTTCCGCCAAACGGCCTGTCGGGGGGGGGAGGGGGTTGAAACTAAAGCGATCTCCTCGGCGCCCTTTGGCACGCGGTAGCCGTAGTTGGTTGAGCCATTATGCTACAAGCCGGAAGGTCGCGGGTTCGATTTCCGATGATGTCAGTGGATTTCTTTTTCAATTCACCTAATCCTTCCAGCCGCACTATGGCCCCGGGTTCGACTCAGTCTCTAACAGATATGAGTACCAGGAATCTTCCTGGTGGGTAAAGGGCGGCCGGCGCGTAAGGCTGACAACCCTACCGCCATTTGTGGCAGATAAAAAAGAAACAAACTCCGTGGCTTTAGTCCGCAAGCGAACTATACTGACCGATCGACCGCCGCTTATCGGCGACGTTAGTGCCAACTTTAGCTGATATAGGATGCCACGTAGTCAGCGCAACGGGTTTCCACGGCCGTTAATGTCGGTTTTCTAGACCGGAGCCGCTATTTCATTGAAACAGCTCCTCAGTTATCCTCACGAGGCTGAGTGGACCCCGTTCCAGACCCACCACTTCTCAGAAAATATGGTAGCGCCGGGAATCGAACCCGGGACCTCTGGATCTGTAGCCAGGAACTCTGACCACTAGACCTCGACGTCACAACCCTACGGGCCTCCACGGCTCGTTACAGGGACAGCTTTGGCTTTACCTTACCCGTTGTGTTTTGCACGTTTAGGATAAACCCACCCGAGTTGAACGACCGAAGAACCGGGATCAGATTTCTGGCAGGTGCACAACGTTCAGACAGTCTCTGGGACCCAGCCAGCCACCTGTACAATGGCTAGGGGAGGAGGCAGTCCTTCCTCAGGGGTAAAGCGGCCGGAGTGTAAACCTCACCATTCGCCATCACATGCCGAGGCTACAATACGTCTTCAGGTCGTGGTGCTTAATTAAGTTACCCTAGGAGAAATAAACCCAATTTCGTGACACCTCTACCCACGTGTGCCATAAATAGCTTTAGTACTTCTCCATAGATGGCTCCATAATGCAGAAGTGAACGCCTGCTTCCATGTTATTAACCTCGGAACTACATAGAGATAACTGCTCCGGCCGCTTTACTCCCATGGGGAAGAGTCCTCCTTATCATTTGGACAGGAGATTGTGTAGGCCCCAGAGCCGGTCAGGACACCGTGGAGAAGAGAAAACTCTCGTACCCCTGACAGGAATCGAATCACAACCCCCCAGTCGTCCAACTCTAGGTCATATCACTATAACAACCGAGCTAAAATAAAGCTGGCAACTTGTGACAAATCTGTTTCTTGCTAAAAGTTGTACCTGTGCTTAAGTAATTCAGCACTAGGCCATGAAGAGGTATGGGGGAGTGGAGATGTAGCTCCACCTTTCTGGACCACGGCACCAGATGTGAGTGGTCAGCTTCATGCCCTTACTGCTTTATCCCCAGGGAAAGAGGCCTCGGCACCCACAGGGTGGGCCTCAGAGCCGGTCTGGAGGCCGTGGAGTAAAGAAAAATGTCTTGCCCCTGCACTGAATTGACTCCCGGCTCCTCACGTCCAGCCCGTAGCCAGTCGCTATCGTCGCTATACCGACTGCGCTATCCCGGCTCCTCACGCCCAGCCCTTAGCCAGTCGCTATACTGACTGCGCTATCCCGGCTCCTCACGTACAGCCCGTAGCCAGTCGCTATACTGACTGAGCTATCCCGGCTCCTCACGTCCAGCCCGTAGCCTGTCGCTATACTGACTGAGCTATCCCGGCTCCTCACTTCCAGCCCGTAGTCTGTCCCTATACTGACTGAGCTATCCCGAATCCCACCGAATTGTAGCGTGGCTGGTACGGTCCTT